CATTGCAACCTTATTATCTTGACGAAACCATTAAAATGTTATAACTTTTCCAAAGCAATCTGCGAAAGACTACATATGAGCACATCATTGGATCGTTAACAGTCTGAAAATTCACAAATTCTAAAATTTGATAAAATTTTCAACTACGGCATCTCTCAGAGGAATATGAAAGATAAAAAAAAACAAAAAAAACTTGCTCAAAGCTCTCTCCCCTCCCCCCTCCCCCCCCCCCCCCCTACCAGGTAAAACTGTTGTTAGACTAGGGCTGCAAGCGCTCCGGTTGCTACTGTTACGAGAAGCACCAAGTGATAGTACTTTGCAAATTTTTCTAAAAATAAGAGTTATCTTCCAAATTCTATTCGGACTAAGAAAGTTTAGGATCGAACGTGTAGAGCTGGCGTACGAACCATAATCTTCTATCTCTCATGTTTTCTATATGAGAACATGGCTATATACGCATTACGACATCGCAAAAAAGCTGCTTGCAATCAACTTATGATGTCCACTGCTCCTGGAACCTATGTATAATTACGCCATAAATAGATCCGTTGTCGGATTACTTAGAAGTAATTTGCATATGAAGATATGGATGCTTCGAGCGGAGCTAAGAAACGTAGAATATTGGGGTTACTTGTGTTATTGGGATGCCTCAAAATCCTTTGCAATTTTACCAAAACCATCTTTCATTTATTCAATTCTTTCAATAAACATCGAACAGAGCAGAGCAAACTCTTCAAGTGAATTATGAAGCTGAAACGTAACAGTAGGTGAGACAAAAATAAGTGTCAAAAATCGCATCTCTGTCTAAAATTTCCCACTTGCCTCAGGCATTTAACTAACGCATTAAACATTCAACTATACAATTCTGCAATTCTTGATTAGACATGAAGAAAAAAATGATGAGATTAAAGTGGCTAACTCCGCCCCAGCGGTCCTGGTTTCCTCTAACAAAAGGACATATATATATAGCCTATACATTCAGAAGTATGATAATATAATATATTTGCGCCCTTATAGGTGCCAGTTTCCAAGAAATACTGATTCTGTTAGTGAAAATATTGTGAGACAACCTAGTATTCTTCTTTAGTCTTAAGCACACCTCTTGCGCTTTCGGTCACCGTGGTTTACTACTTTTATAAGGGCATTATGAATATTCAGAATATAACATATTCGCCCCAACATACAAAATATATGCTCAGAGCCCAAGGCTATTCGCAAAAACAAATCTGGCAAATTGCCAAGATGCGCAGCGCTCGAATCACATGAGGTATGCCCAAGTGGCCAAAATCCGCCAGGTCCTATAGCGATGTCTGATCTAAAAGCAGAGTCCGGGGGGCCAAACCACTCTCGCCAGAGCAAATCCCACATCGCACAATGCATAAAACAAAGAGATTCATGCGCATCAGAGCAAATGCTCATTGCAGCGCTGAAACACACAAAGACGTACTCTGAAAGCGTTGGCCCCATGTTTAGCGATTCTGTATTCGCCCACTTTGTAACAGACGACCACACTCGATGATGGAGTAACACACTCATAACCTCGGGGGCCAATCGGTTCTCAGAGGAATTAGGAATTGTCGACTAATGGCCAAAGCGCTCGACAGCTTAGCATGTAGGAAAACAAAGTCAGAGTGTTCAAAAGTAGAAAATAAACTCAGTGATGGCTGCACGGATTTCTTTTCGGACCTGTGGGTTCAAAAGCTCAAATATTATGGATCTATAAATGCACTGAAATATACGTCTGCAAGTAATCTCAATACCTCTTGTATAATACGTAACACTTACGTTGCAATATTCATAATAATGAAAACGGCATAATAATGTAAAACATGATTTGAGTTTTACAGGTCCCAGGGCTCGGCACGTGCTGGCTTTCCGAAAATGCAGAAAACGGGTCTCCCTTGACTTTTCCAAAATTTTACGAAGTCCCCTTTGCCTAAACCTTGAACTTAAAATCCAAAAAGAAACGTCGTCTGAAAAAACGTAACTTAGATTATCTTTTTTAGGCCCCAAATATCTCCATATCTCCTTTGCTTTTTGTCCCAAAGCTTATAAACCACCTATGAATCCCTGGGTCTTAATCCCTTATGAGAAGTTCCGAAAAAGCCCTGTAGGTATGTTCGTGACTAATGGAAGGAACAATATCGATAACTTTTCTAATGATAAACTCTTTTTAAATACATAGACGTCCCACTGTATGGTTTTCGTAAAATAACCATAGTTTGGGACACAATTATTCTTTAGTGCTGGATCTAGAAATAGCCTCCATCTTTTTTTCAGCCCCTCACAGCTATGTGAATATACTGTAGATGGCAATATGTGGTTTTATTTGAAATAATGTTGACTGAATAGCCTTGGTCCCAAAGTCAGACTAAAAATTGCGTGGTCGTCGGTGTGGCTATCCCACATGTTGGTAAGGTCATAAATACATATAATATAATATCATTTTACTCTCATTAAGTTTTGTTTTCTTACATATAAGCAAAGCTCGATTAGACGAAGGTGGATAGGAAAGTACGAGACATGATAATAAAGTTTAAAACGAAGCCTAAAGTACCTTTGCTGAATGCCGAACTTCACTCAGTAAAAGTTATAACTTTCTTTGTAGGTTTGACTGCGCCTTCAAGGTGATTGGTATTTTTCCTCTTCGTTTTATATTTATTTAAATATAAATTATCTATTTTTTTATTCAAGATACTTATGGCCAGAGGATGAGGTGCATATAGCATATGTGCAGTAGTTCTAGAGAAATAGGATTAAAGAAAAACAATGGCCAATTAATCTAAACTTCAGCACTTGATAAATAGTAAAACCATTGCAAAACTGATCCAACAGAGAAAGAGTATAATAAATGATTATTTGTGGATTAGACTTTTCCTATATTACTTTACTAGTGTATTGAGAGGTATAGGCAGAAATTTCCACGCTAATTCATAATTCATGACATTCATTGCGAGAAAATCCCGGAAGTCCGACTAAATCAATGTGCAAAAAAACTAGATGAATACAAAAAGTTTTTTTGGAACTATCTAGAGATATCCTTGTGTATAAAGACTAGGGAGTAATGATTGCCTACATAAAACTATGTTTACTCTTCTAGCTTTTCATAGGGGATGCCAGTGAGAGAGGCTATTGTGTTGTTGTTGCACGTCTGGCGCTTCGTTTTCTTTTTGCATATTTTTTGATATAATTTCAAAATGGTTTGGACTAGAAAATTTTTGCAGACTATTGTATAAGTGCAAGAAAAAGAAATATGCTAACATAGCCTTGATCCTCCAGCAAATTCTCCTACATCATTCTTCCTTGTCTGTGGCTATGATATCTTAAGTTTTCAATTTTTTTGAAAATGTAAAAGTCAACAATGTATTTTTGATGCTAGGAAAATGATCACGATTCCTTATCTAGTATTGGCACACAGAATGTATGAACAGACTGGGACTGTCACAAGTTTTATGCATGTGCAGCAGGTTTTGTTTAATACAGGTTGGCGGATAATTTCTGTTACATTTTTTTTGTAAAATTCTGAAAAGTTCCAGAAGTGTTCTAGAATCTTCAAAATCTGTCCATATGTAGGTCACAATAAGGCGTACACAACAGTATGACTGATGCCGCAAATGCACAATTTGCCAGCAACTTTACGACAACTTTGCAAGTACATTCAAAATTGTCGTTTTTTCTTTGATTTTTTTCTCTGCCCTAATCCTGTTTTTTCTCTCCCATAATTTTTTAAGGACATATTTTCACAACGTCTCTTTTATGGTAGCACTTTGGTGCCGCTAGCACGTCAAAAGCAAGGGGTGAAAAACGCTCGAAAAAACTAAAAAATCGTCGAAAATTTTTCTTTTTGTGTGCATCGTGTAGGATTTGATACGGAAAGATTGAAAATAATTTTTTGTTGATTTTTAAAGATTGCTCTTTATGTCAAAATGCCAATGTGCGTTGACATGGCGCAACATGTAGCTCATGTGATCGTGTGCGGACATTATTGTGCCATCCCCCTTTGTCCGCTAAAAACTATGGGCCATACCCTGCCCGAATACCACATCGCCCGGTCTCTTCCCAATCATCTGTAAAAATGCCAGCCCGCTGACAAAATGTCCATAGAATGTACTCCCACCGAAAAAGTGGGTGTTTTGCGCACAAACCGCGGATCTGACAGTACCGGCGGGTAGACCTTTGCATCCCGCCAACACTTGTTAAAAATAAGAAATTTCGGATGTTTCTTAGATTTTTAAAAAATAAAAATAAAAGTGTAACAGAACCGCCAACCTAATATTTGGTTTTTTTTAGAGTGCCCTCAGATCTAGGGTCTTACGATGCTTGAAATTGTAGTGCATTTATACTCATTAACACTTTGCCAGCACATTAATCACATTTGTTACCCGGAAATGACGAGATTCTGTCTTAAAAAAGCTGGAATGGCCCAAATGCTTTGACATTTAACTAGAAATTCCATCGAAAGTGCTTTGCTCACGGATTATCTGCTTTTATCTTCATCTATCTTCTTCCTGTGACGCAGTTTCCATTAACAAGAATGATTTATTGCAGCAAGACTAGCCGACATATTTCGAATGAAAGGTTATCTTTTGTAAAAAGCTTTCACGAAATGCCGAAGGATATAAAACCTTGAGACGTCCAAACAGCTATGAGCATAAATCGAAAAAGCTTTACAGCTTAGAAAAGTAACAAGTGCATTTGCTTTTCCTGTTGTGATTTATTAATTGCGACTCATACACTCGAACATTAGATACTAACACAAATGGTTGCGCCACTAAAATTTGCTTTAGCACTGTTTTTTTTTCTACTCAACTTTCTTCGTCTCTCCTTTTTTGTTATTGTTCAAATTATCATGCACTAGAGATCGTACCGCAGTGAATAAATGAAGATTTGGTTGACTACTGTAAACTTAAACTTGCTACGTTACCATCAATGCCTAGGTCCTGATGATAGAGCTATGACCCTTTTTTTCATCTCATTTAGACATTTTTGTGGCGCAGCTAATGACTGGTACTGGTCAAAAAACTCAGAGGTGAGATCTCACCCAAAATGTACTTTTCTGAGCGACCCAGTCAGCGATATTGATACGGTGGAAATTAGAATCTGAGCGAGAGCCTAGGATTGAATTTTCCAAAACAATTAAGCTTTTTGAGGGGCCGTTTGGTGACGACGGCATTCTTCATTCCTCACATGACTCATATCCGCATTGCTTTAACACTATCTTCAAGGACGGAGTCCACCCACCTTCACCAAACTCTTTTTCCAGGAAAAAGTTCCGCTAGCACGTCAGGGGAATCTGAATCATCAGTCCCTAGCGAGGACTTGAGCAGTCCAGTTCGGATAAATGCATTGCAGGGTGAGCTTACAAATTTTTCAGTTTCCGGAGACATTTCTCGCGCTTGGAAGTTGGTTGAGGATTATAGACTTGACAATCTTCACTATGGATGACCAACAGAGGAATTTTCGCTGAAACATTTCAAGCCGTCCTATGATTCGCACGAAAAAAGTCATCTACGGCTTTTAGTGCAAAGAACTTGAAAGTTCGTATTCAATCCAGACTCCTTCAGATCCGCTGTCTGGCTGTGGACCGGGATCATTTCATGTTAGTGTTGATCATATTTATCTTGTCGCGGCGTCGTAATTCTTGATCAACTTCAATTTACAAGACGTTGTTGACATATGGTCGCGATCACACTCTGCCAGGTCCACCCACATTTCAAAATCTCTGCTCCAACCTTATTTCAATCTTCGACGGCATCCCGAACTTGCCTGTTCGTTGCTACTAATCAGCATGGAGCGGAAGCTGAGACCGGTATGTTGACGCTTTTGAGATCATTGTTCTCAACTTTTTGTGTTTGGGACCATTTTTTATGCCTGTGGCAAACATTTGCAAAAAACTCTAACAAAATGTAGTGTTACCTGGTGCCATGAGCAAATAGAGACTGCCAGCACCCAAAAAGAGTATTTCACTGTTTTTTTCTTCATTGCTCACCGTAATGCAGAATTGCTCCAATCGTTTCAATAATTTGCCAGTAACACTTTGCTCCTTCAGTTTGTGTCGCTTAATCTGCCACCTAACACCTTTTGTCACTGTTCGTTTTATTGGCTAGGTTACACGCAGATTTGGGGGTTAAATTAGGATGAATGCAAAAAAATATAGAATATGCTTGCTTTCTCTCAAACTTCCATTGTTGCGGTTTGCTTATAATCTGGTTATATTTTGTTTTGTATGTAAGATTGTTTAGCTTATACAGAAATCAGAAAGTAAAACCCAGGGTGTCCCAAAAAATGTATCGAACATTTGATCGTTAACATCTCATCTAGAACGAATCACCCATCTCTCTTCATTATTGTAGGATTACGGTAGAAACTTGAAAGAGGGTTTTGAGCAATGAAAGGCCATATTTTGCCCAAGAAAGGAAACAAAACAACCTGAAAACTTTTACACTAGGCTAATTAGAGTTGCTGATTATAACTGTAAGTTCCCAATTTATCATGATGCTTCATTGAAGAGTTATGCCAGGTAAGAGGTAGCGGCCATTTTTTCAATATTCCTAAAAAGTGCGGTCGCACCGTTTAGAAAGCTTCGTAATCTTGTGAATAGTTGAGTATTGAACTCAGCGTCCATAAAAACTCCAATACACATGTTTTCACATTTTTTTCTAAAATTTTGAAACGGCAGCTTTTTCCACATTGACACCATATGTTTCAAGTTTCTACCGTAATCCTACAGTAAAGAAGAGAGATGGGTGATTCGTTCTTCAATGCAAATCTAAGTTGAAGCCAGCTCTACAAAACGGTACCTGAAGCAAGGCAAAAGACTTCTTGGGAAGAGAGATATTAACGATCAAACGTTCGATATATTTTTTTGGGACACCCTGTAGAGCAAGCATGGCTCTCTGATACTGCTGAAGAGCATTATATCAAAAACTTCATCACTCACTTGCATGCATATTGGAACTATTTAATTAGTTTAATAATAACAAAAACGTTACCCTCCACTCAGGTTTTATACAGCTCATTTTTCGAAAAAAAAATTTTTTTCAGTTTGATTCGTCCAGGAAATTGCGTCATCATTAGTAACATATACATGACCTTACAACCTTGTAATTCATTTTACACGTAGAGTCCCTAAGCGTCACTGGTAGAAGAGTACGATAATTTTCAAATAGACTCTCTGATTGAGGAAGCATTAGATCATTCCAAGAAATCTTTTACCTCGCAAAATTTTAGGTTTCTTGTTTTGATCATGCTATAAAACACGGAGGCCACTATTATCATTTCCTTGTTCTAACCTCTTCCTTGTGATACTGTTAAAACGAAGCAATGTCATCAGATGACTTTGGAAAATCACTACTGCGATGTCGATGATAAAATTTTGGAGCATTTTGTACGTAGAGACATTTTACATGATTCTCTCTCTAACATTTATAGTACTTATCATTGTGATCTATGAAGAGATGTGAATCTGGCACAGCAACAAAAGAGAGTGACTATAGTTATCGCAAACATGCTGATAAATTTCCTAACGTTGTCTTTACACCACCGCAGTGTACAGCTTGCATGATCCTCAAGGGAATAACGATTGTATAATTTTGGGATGTTCATATGTAAAAGCTTATATCAAAATTAGAAAAATTGATTAAATTTCATATATAACTATAGTAACAGCATTTGTTTATTACCAAGTAGATAAAATATAGCCAACACCTCGAACGACTTATTTTGTGTCTTGAACTCAGCGAAATTAGTCTCAGTGTTTGGATACCCAGTAAAATGAGAGCTTGTTGTGCGAATGGACAAGTCAACAGTTGGCAGTTGCTAGCTGCGGTCATCGTAGTCATTTTTCTAAACGGCAGTGGGACTTCGGTTTTGTTTACGATGTGCTAGAACTGTTACGCAAATCTAAAGCTGCACTCGAATTGTTAACGAAAGCTAAACGAAAGAAAAGCTCCGACATTAACAAGTCAAATCAATAAATTATTTACATGAACTTGAAGTAAGCGCCTAGGCAAATCTGGGTATCAAGGCTATTGCATGACGAAGGCGCAGAAGCAGTATCACTTGAGCGGGCGCGAACGCAGCGCGCGCGTATCATCATCGTTGTAAATCCTGCGCTTATGCGCTCTGCGGCTAATAAAGCCGCGTTCGCGCCCAAAGCTATTGCACCTTCGTCATGCAGCAGCCCATAGGTCTCCTGTGTGGAAAATGATTGAAAGGCCTTAGATAAGGCTTTTCGCAGGCGTTTTCTCATAAGATATTCGTAGCCAAGAAACTCATTACTAAACTCAGGCCCAGACCGTACCCCTAGAGGACTTTTGGACGCTGATTGGTCATCTCGTAGTTGATACAGTCTGAGTTGGAAGTGTTATATCCAACCACAGTTAAATCATGTGAGCTGCTGCATAGCGATGGCTTAGCTAATTCCCCCCCCCCCCCAATAGGGTAGTACCAAGATTTGCTTGAATGTTGTGAACGGATGAACTCAGTTGACTAGAAAATTTCTTTGAAAAAACTTTTCCATTCAGCGCCCAAGGACTAATCTCGAAAAATGTTTACCTGAACAAACAATCGCAATCAAAAGTACAGATATGGCTGAAGAGATGCAGCAGGATGCGATCGTGGCCGCACAATACGCCATCCAGAAGTTTCAAATCGAAAAGGTTAGAATTCTTAGCTGCTTTCAAATCTGCTTTGGCCCTTACTAAAGTCGAAGTGCCTATTCTCTTCCAAATTTTCAGGACATAGCATCATACTTGAAGATGGAATTCGACAGAAAGTACGGACCTTCATGGCATTGTGTGGTTGGACGAAATTTTGGATCTTATGTAACTCATGAGACAAATCATTTTATCTACTTTTACATTAAACACATTGCTGTGATGTTATTCAAGACCGGATTTTGAATATTGTTATTCCTGTACTCTTATGCTGACAATTGAATATTTGCCATTCACTTGATCACAATACGCAGCAACAATTTATTCAAAAAAACACGTGCTACAAGTCTCGCCACAGGAAGAGAAAATGTCTCGGTCCATGAAAATATCGCTTATGTACAGAAATAGATGAATAGTATAAGCAACGGTAGAGTGAGAAACATTGCAGGCTTGGAGGAATTACAGTAATCCCTATCGTTGCAGAAGCAGTAGAACCACCTAAAAAGCAGTGACATAAAGGTAGAATAAGACAGCTAAACCGATTTTTTAGTCTGAAACCTACCTTTTTACTGGTGCTGAACCATCTTGAAAGGGAAAACAAGTTTTACCCTGCACATATGATAGATTTGTGGGATTTACTTGTAGGGTAGTCTGATAGAAGCAGTCGCTTTTGTATGTGACGTATTCGACCCCGGGCGTCATGGTATCCAGTATTCTAACGCAGTACTAGAGTGAATAAAATTTAGAAAAAGACTAGAAAACTTTACTAAAAATCTTACCTGATTCGTTTCGCACTGATTATTTCGGTTGTCACAAGTGCTTGTTTGAGTGAACCTATAAAACGGACACTAATACAGGTTTTTTTCGCAATCGTGTGCGCAATTAGTCTTTCAAAAATATTTTTGGAATTTGTAATCAATTAGGTTCAAAAACTCACCTGGGTGGGTAATTTCCGAGCCATCCATTGCACTGATGACACTTTAGCGAAGAGATTGCTAAACTATAGATATTTGCTCAAGGGACGAATTCTATAAACTGGGCAATTGAGAGCGGGGGGGGGGACAAACGAAATTTTGAATGAAGGTGGTGTTAGCTACACTCAGAAGATTTTCTGGGGTACTTCTCAGATCTTGTGAGAGTCATAACCCCGAAATTTTTGAAAAAAGGGGGTGTGGCGGCAATTTCAAAAGTTATTTTGAAATATTTACAAATGGCTCTACATGGCAAATTTGCCTTTTTATACGACAAAAAGACATGGATATTCCTTTGAAGAGAATTCCTAGACATTCATTGGATTCCAGACTAAGCAAACTAGAAAACTTAACATACTTCCACAGTTGACGAGTAGTGCTATCACAGTCAGTTGTCTCATAGCAGGCTTGTCAGCATCAAATTGTTAGGCTTTAGAAATTAGAGCAAACTATGTAGCCGATTAACAATGCTACGAACCGCAATAGCCACAAAGATTTCAAAAATCGAAGCCCGAATTCAAAGGAGTGAGTTGGTTGCCTGGAGATGATCCTAGCTACGAAATAATTTATGCTGAGTTGTTCTCCCTTGATGTTTCAATATCTGTTCAAAAACCTCTACTCAGTAGGGGATGCAGTCTCAATTGGATATTTGTGAACCATTTTTATTCCAGTAAATACAGGGTGTCCCAAAAAGGTGGACAGTGGATCATTGAAAACAAATTTTCTTTGATGTCTTTCGCCGATCTTCAGATACCAGTCTAAAGAGCTGGCTTCAATTTAGGGTATGGAGAAAATCGTCAACCGCTCTTCGTTCCTGTAGGATTACGGTAAGAACTTCCAGCATACAAAACACTTCAAAATAGGCCATCTATCAATTTTTTCAAAAATCTGGCAAGATGTGTAAAAGGGTTTTCACGCATGATAATTCCAATACACACCTTTTACAACTTTCTGAGCTTTTCAAAAATGCCACATTCAGGAGCATTGGGAGAACAATTATTGCGGTGTACCTAAAGTGCTTTGAAAGAAGTATACTGTGTTCCAAAAATTATGTACACGATAACGATAACGAAAAGTAGCCTATGACACCCGCCCCGCCCCGAAGTGTATGTGTGCCAACTTTGGTCCGGATCGGTTCAGAAATGGAATTTTCTATTCGGAACATACGCACAGACAGACAGACATACAGACAGACAGACATTCAGCTTTATTTATGAGATACCATTTGAAAAGTCGCTTTTACTTGCGATTAAATTTACAGTAGGGAGCGAATCACCTACCGCTCTTCGTCACTGTAGGACTACGGTAAGAGTTTTGAAAGATATTACGCAATTAGTGGCTGATACACGGGAAAACGGAAAACTTCATCATTAGGCTAGATAGAGTCATCGATTATGAATATGATATCACACTTCATCGCAAGGCTTCTCTCTTTATAGTAGGTAAACCGAAACAACATTTTTCAATGCGTTTGAAACGCCTGAAAAATTCGTAAAAAGTTGCTTATTAAAATCAGCATGTTCCGAAAGTGCTGCCACACTTTTTTTTTTAAAATTTCTTTCTTAAAACGGCCTATTTCACATTGTTTGTTGCCGTGTGCTGGAAATTATTACCCAAATACACAGTAACGAAGAAGAAAATAAATTAGGAGTACGCTTCTTGCCGTAAATTTATGTGAAGACTGCTTGAATGGTACTTGAAGCTAAGCAGAAGGCCTCGTAGTGTGTATTTGCTTGGAACGCCCCTTATTATGCAAACTTCGAATCAAAATTAATGACTTTGATTGGTCTAGCATAAAAGATTTTTTCTATTTATTATAGTTTGTCCTCTTCAAGCAAAAATGTGATAATATCAAGGCGGTTCTAAAGTTCTTTCCGTTTTTTTCAACCTGTCATAAAAACACTTGAAATAAAGGCAGGCAAATGCTCTAAGCACTTTCGGACGCAGTTTTTCTTTCTCTTTCCAGCAATCGTGTCTTGGGATCGTTTGTTTTGGTGGTTTCTGAGATAACTGCCGAAATTCCAAAGCCCTGATTTTTACCATACTCAATTTTGGCAATTTTTCAAAATCTTCATATTAAACTTTTGGAAAAGCTTTGATAGCAGCTGAATAGCGTAAACAAAATGCAATGCAGTGCTATTTTCTCCCATCTCCATTTAGCTTCTTAGCATTTTTTAGGATAACTTTTCCAGAAGTCCTCATTATTGCGAAGTGGCAAAATTACAAAGGCTTCTAACACTAAGAAATCGTAGGGATTTGAAGCTTGCAAAGGTCGATTTTGATAACACACTAACTTTACAAAGCATTAGAGTGTTTGTCGCTTCGAAATATTATCAAATCTCGTATTCTACGGGTACATCATGAGGCGGGCTCAAAATCAGGAAATATGATAATTTTTTCGCCAAATATTTCAAGAATTGGGAAGAAAAAGGGCCTATCAGAAAAGGAAGAAAAAACTGCATCGAATGCATTTTAGATGTGCTCCGTTTGACGTTCTGTGAGTTTTGCGATGACCAGAAGTGGAACTGGATAGCGTCAGAAACATAATTTCAAAAATTTTGGAAAGCCAGCTATAAGTGCCAAAAAAATTTCACTGCACTGCACTTTGTTCACGCTACCTACAGTTGTGACAGTGGAATGTGAAAAATTTCGGCGAATTCGCCGAATTCTCCAAATTCGCCGATGTCGCCGAATTCGCCGATGTCGCCGACTTTGCGTCTTTTCGTCATAACTCCCTTCATTCTGAATGGATTTTAAATTTGAAACCAGATTTGGATTCAGCTCGCCGAGACGAATCTTTTCATTTATTGAACTGCTGTAATTGGCTCGGTCACGGTAAGTACATGGTAGGAATCCCTTGCATCCTGTGGTGGTGTTTTCTAGAGTGTGTATTTCAGCGCATAATGTAGGCAAAGGTTCAAGAAAAAGAGTGTTTGATGGAAGAGTTTCTGCTGAGTGTTTCCAGCAGAAAACCACATCCTTTTTTGTAGTGGAAAAAAGAGAAAGGAGTACGTGAACTTAATAAATATACATGGACCACTTACCGTCAAACAAACATAACTATACTGTAACTCTATGACTAGCAAAACAATTATAATCTTGGTAATCAGCATGTCTTGTTGCTTATGTGAGCAAAGTGACACACCGCATGACTATGATATTCTGCTTCCAGCAAAACTTCATTTTTTTTTCTGCAGACGCCTCTTTGCAACGCTGTGGGCCAGTCCCTTTCACACATAAAAGATTCCGGTAAGGCGAATCGGAAAGAGTTGTTTCCGTAGATAATCCAGCGGTGAAAAGTAGACGGAGACATGCGTTATAAAGCGCGAAAAGAGATGGTGAATTCTGCAAAAATCACGCGCCTTTAAATTCTACTCGCCATAACTTCCTTCAGAATAAGTATGTTCTGAATCCGAAAACGGTGCTGTGCTCAGCTCATCAAGGCGAATCTTTTGGTTTACAGCATGTCCTTGATATCTCGATTTCGGTATTCTTGAATCTTTCTGCGGACGTTTCTTCTCGAAGGTGTAAAGCAGCGAGCATTGTCCCGAGTAGATTGCAGCAGGGACCTTCTGATAGCACTTTTTTCTGTAGATTATGATGCGCTAAACAGTAGCCGCAATTTTCCTTTCAAAGGAAAAAGATGGGCTGGTGAATTGTGGAAAAATCTTGTCGTCCCAAGTTCTACTCGCCATAGCCATAGAATATGATGCTCCTCTTGCTAAGCAGATGTGATTATCGTAATCAGCAGGTCGGATAACCACTATGCGCAAGTTTTCCCGAGATTTTTGGGTTATTTCATTTTTCTCGTTTAACGCTCTGGAAGCTCGCCGATGGATTTTGGTCAAAATGTTGATGCTCTTGAATTGTAAGGAAACTTCGCTTATAGAGGGTTTTCGAACACGCTCTTTACGAAAATCGTGGTCTCTGAGGATTACAGTGTCTTTTTGGAGAGATACGGTGAGGTAACTGTAACTGCACCACGAAAGTGCGTACTTTGCCCGCACTTCTCGCGTATCTCTCAGAAACCTTGCTTGCTTACTTTTTTAAGTCAAAGTGACTAGGGAACTGAGCTATCGAATGGTGCATGAACCGGGCTCCAGTCTATAAAATTCGCCGAGTTGCAAGCCTACGAAAACACGTCCTCATGAAATTTGCACAAAATGTAAAGATCGCGTACTTCGTTGAAATTCCACCGTGAGTGGTTGCATGACTAATTGCAAATGTTATGCTCACCCCGCCCGCGTTTTATACAACCACTCACGGTGGAATTTCAACGAAGTACGCGATCTTTACATTTTGTGCAAATTTCATGAGGACGTGTTTTCGTAGGCTTGCAACTCGGCGAATTTTATAGACTGGAGCCCGGTTCATGCACCATTCGATAGCTCAGTTCCTAGTCACTTTGACTTAGAAAAGTAAGCAAGCAAGGTTTCTGAGAGATACGCGAGAAGTGCGGGCAAAGTTACGCACTTTCGTGGTGCAGTTACAGTTACCTCACCGTATCTCTCCAAAAAGACACTGTAATCCTCAGAGACCACGATTTTCGTAAAGAGCGTGTTCGAAAACCTCTATAAGCGAAGTTTCCTTACAATTCAAGAGCATCAACATTTTGACCAAAATCCATCGGCGAGCTTCCAGAGCGTAAAACGAGAAAAAATGAAATAACCCAAAAATCTCGGAAAACTTGCGCATAGTGGTTATCCGACCTGCTGATTACGATAATCACATCTGCACATCTGCTAAGCAAGAGAGCATCATATTCTATGGCTATGGCGAGTAGAACTTGGGACGACAAAATTTTTCCACAATTCACCAGCCCATCTTTTTCCTTTGAAAAGAAAATTGCGGCTACTGTTTAGCGCTCATAATCTACAGAAAAAGTGCTATCAGAAGGTCCCTGCTGGAATCTACTCGGGACCATGCTCGCTGCTATACACCTTCGAGAAGAAACGTCCGCAGAAAGATTCAAGAATACCGAAATCGAGATATCAAGGACATGCTGTACACCAAAAGATTCGCCTTGATGAGCTGAGCACAGCACCGTTTTTGGATTCAGAACATACTTATTCTGGAGGAAGTTATGGCGAGTAGAATTTAAAGGCGCGTGATTTTTGCAGAATTCACCATCTCTTTTCGCGCTTTATAACGCATGTCTCCGTCTAATTTTCACCGCTGGATTATCTACGGAAACAACTCTTTCCGATTCGCCTTACCGGAATCTTTCATGTGTGAAAGGGGCTGGCCCACAGCGTTGCAAAGGGGCGTCTGCAGAAAAAAAATGAAGTTTTGTTGGAAGCAGAATATCATAGTCATGCGGTGTGTCACTTTGCTCACATAAGCAACAAGACATGCTGATTACAAAGATTATAATTGTTTTGCTAGTCATAGTGTTACTGTATAGTTATGTTTGTTTGACGGTAAGTGGTACATGTATACAGGGTTGGGGGAAAGTCTTTGAACACGGTATTTGACGTAATGATGAAGCTAGGCAAGATG